AATCGCTTAATACAATACATACATATGCACTCATGTATATATATGCTATGTGTGTTTGTGCATCTTGATGTCAAGAAATCATTTCCAACAACTGACCATGACATAAAACCCATAACTTTTTACAAATGTACTATACATACACGTATGTACATACAGTATGTATATGTGTGTAATATGGAGCAATCTTTCCGCAAGAAGAAAACTTGTCACTACCGAATGCAACTCTTGAAAAGTCGTTGTGCAATCGAAATGAGAAAGATAAGAATCCAGGATAAGAAGTGTGCAATTGACAACAGTTGTGACACCTTTTTTTAATAAATTCTGCCACTACATACGCGCACTCGACATACACGTATGTGAAAGCCCACTCACTTACTTATCAGCGCAACATTGACACAAATATCTAGCGCGAGTGCTGATGATGTGTACGCTGTTGCCGTTACTGTTGTTATTGCTGTTGCAGTAGTTGTTGTAGTAGTCGTTAGTTGGTGTGAGATTATTGCGAGCAAGCAACCATATATTCAGTTCGTAGACACTTGAAGGTCCTCAATTGACAGATTTGGAGTGACGTGTTTGGCTGTTGGTGCTCGGCGCGCAAATGCGGTTAATAAGTATGCAATTTTATCTCATGTGCTCACTGCTTGCTTTCTGCCCAACACCCACACAGACTTATCGCTTGCTGGCAATCACTTGTCAGATGTCGAATGGAAAAACAGTTCTTCTTGCGCTCGTCACTCAACGGAATGTCAGAGTCGTAGCGTGGGTCCAGTTTGGTAACAATTTTCTGAAACTTCTTATTTGTACATTTCTCTCTGTTCTCAGTTTAGGTTTATATATTTTCTCAGAATTAAATGAGCTTCTATAAGTTCAGTGACATTTCAAATGCCAAATATTAAGTTTGCGGCTCTGGAATTGGTCAGCTTTCAAGTCCTGGTTCGATCACCATCTAAAAATTATTAATCTTTTTAATTGTGATCGCCTTCTGGTAGGAAATGTCAAGCTCTCCAAAAAAGGCTCCTCATGAAAATCTATCAACTGTTTGGACGCGACTTTGAATAAACTTTAGGTTCTTCCCTTTGCTGAGAAGATGCACTGGAGAAGCTCGTCTAAAAATCACTCAGCGGTTTTAAATTTCTATATACACTGGTGGCCAAAACTGAAGCAACTTAAATGGCTTAACTGAACAAAGGTGTTCTCTAAGTTGCTCATGTAAAATCGCATCTATGAGGCGTAGAATTTATCAGACGCTCAATTCGTTCCTTGGTGATGCTGTTCCGCGCAACTTGTAAGCAATTGAAAAAAGTGTACGTATTTGTTCCACTATCCTTTTAGATTTTCCGGTATATATTGCTGCAGAGGTTATCAGTCGGATTGAGGTCGGGACCCTGAGCAGGACATTCTAAAACATTGAATTTTTCCACCTCAAGCCACTCCTTAACCAATTGCGAGGTGTGTTTTGGATCGTTGTTATGTTGATAGTTCCAAATCAAGGAGAATACGGCGACATAATATCTTATATTCACCAATTTGTGAAGTGATCTCTCGAAACCGTTACCTTAACGCAGAAAAGAAAGCAAAGCGGTCTTCAGTAGAGAATATTGCTGCTGTAGCTTTAAGTGTTTTGTTTGCACCATATGCAGGAATCAGAAATTTTGCAGACTTCTTTTCACATAAGTTTTCGTAAAGACAACGGTATGAAGACTTATAAAGTCCAGTATATGCAATGACTGAGGCATCATGATCATCCGTCACCATTTCGCTTCGTTCAGCGATTGACAAAAGATGTGTACTTTTACCGAAAGATCATCTTTTTCTATGAAGCTCATTATCACACCGGCTGTTGCTATGTTAACAATCAAAGCTGACATATTTGGGACTCAAAACCTCAGACGTAATCACGGTAAAACACTGCATCCTCAATAAGTGGCTGTTTGGTGCGCAATGTGAACAAGAAGGGAAATTGGATCGTTCTTCATCGAAACGCGACAGCTCTCAGGTTGATCATTTCCAAATGTTAAAGCAAATGGTACTAAGGAGAGAGTGCTTTTAAAAAGACGGCGCTAAGTGTCATTCAGCAAACGGTACTACGGAGAATCGACTTATGTTAGATTTGTAATAGAATTGATGCTGAAAGGACACTTGTGGCTCTAAATCTAGCAGCGTCAAATATAGGTAATATGTACTAGAAGAGATACTCAAGCGAAGGGGTGAAAGGCAAGTATGTTTGAGGCAATGCAATTCCCTGCTTGTTTCTATCCAGGCGTAACCAGGAACCCAAGTAATTATCTAAAAGCTTCGTGGTTCGGCAAATTCGAAAACAGATAACAGACAGCTACTTTAACTAACTCAAATTGAATTGTACCTCCATTTGGCACTACAAAGGACCAACAGATCCAGCCAGCCAGCGTAACCTAATTTAACCTATAAGTAAATAATTTTTAATAAATAATAATAAATTAGAGGGTAAAAAAATTATTACAGCACAAAAAAAACAGCAGCTGCTATAATTTCCAACGTGCTTACCTTTCTCTATTCGCTACGGGGGTAAACCTAACTTTCGCACTTAGCTTTCTGTGCCTTGGCACATCGTAATGACCGTCTTGGGTGTCGCACTTGATACGCTTGACTAACACCAACCGTAGCCTTTCAAACTTACTCTACCGCTGTGTATGTGTGTTTTATGTAGCACAAAGCGCTTATCTATTAAGGAATCAGAGCCAAGATTGTACACTTTTTCCAACTTCTTCATCTTCTTCATCTTCTTCATCTTGTTTCTCGGAGTAAATGCGTGAATGAGCACTTAATCGTTTGTATTCGAGCATAATGGAGAAAAAGGTTAAGAATATTTCATAACTTTAGCAAAAGAATATATGCATACATACACTCGTATATATATGCTTACTTGCATATACTAATATACATATATTTATATGTAATTTTATACATGGGAGTGTGTTAAAGATAGAAGATATACGAGTATAATGAGGTGCGTTTCAAAGTCGAAAGACGTTTTAATAATTCTTCTGTAAGCGTAATTCAAAATCATTGAAAAGCTCTGTATTCGATTTCTTGTCATCATATGCACTATTGTATTTCTCTACTTCTATTGACACACCCTTATTGACGTCAAGGCTTATTGTCCGCTACAGAATCGTTACCCCTTTCTGGTGTAGTACTCAGTTGCTGCTGCTGTTTGTGTAACACTGTGGTAAGGTAGGAGCCCCAAATAAGCACTTCATAGGCCTTCAAGTGTTAAACGATTTATAAATAAGATAATGCGAGATAAGGTGTAGGCATCCATTAATTCAGTGAATCGATGAAAAAAATATTGTTCAGTGTTGCAAGAACCAATCGATATAGGTTAATTATTAATGAGTAATAAAATTTGGCGAAACATCACAGAGAAAATGTTCACTTGACTAATTTTAAAGACTGCGGAAAGTATCTTATTATTTTGAAACAACTTTTAAACCGTTTTTGTTCCAAAAAACCTTATTGCATAATAAACAAGAGAGATATTGGATTAAAACCCCATTTTTCTTAAGCGCAGCATTCATGTTGAAATTATTGGTCAAAGTCAAAAAATTTGACAGTCAAGCGAGTAGGATTGCGTACTTATATGCAGAAGGTCAAGGTACGAGTCCTGGCCCGATCGACATCCAAAATGATAGAAAAATATTTTTGCTTTTTGAAGCTCTCTGAATATTTTTATGAAATAAAAAGCGGCTCATAAAAATCCACTTGTTTTGGAAAACATCTAGATGCATACCTAAAACTGAAAATTTGATTTTATTTTATTTTATTTTATTTGATATTATTTTATTTTATTTTGTTTTGTTTTATTTTATTTTATTTTATTTTATTTTATTTTATTTTATTTTATTTTATTTTATTTTATTTTATTTTATTTTATTTTATTTTATTTTATTTTATTTTATTTTATTTTCTTTTATTTTATTTCATAATTATCTTATGATTCAGAAACGCACCTCAAACATTTAAATGCAATAAGTGATAAGGATGTTTGAAACGAGTTTCATACACGTGTAAGCATATTTTCGGTATAAGTTTATTTTTATATGCGAAAGCAATCCGCATACGATTCGTTGCCTTGGTGTCCTAAGCGGAAACATACACACATATTCGCACGTGCAACTTATTCTTCAATGAAATATTAATTGCACAAATTATAAATACATATATATGTTTGTACTTTTCTTAGAAAGTCTAACAGTCATACATGTATACATATTTATAGCTTTGTTATATGTCATATATCAGTAGTCTTCAAATAAACGACACTTGTGAGGACCCCTAAATCTTTGTATGTCATCTTATGTAAAATTTCAATGTTTTATAGTGAAAACTTAGGAATACAAAAATACTACCTGAATGTGAAAAAAAGAAAATTGAAAAAGACGGAAACAGATACAACTTATAGAATAGCAAAAACACACCTTGCTATGTTGCATTTGCCGTATTTCAATTTTACATGGGAAACCACGCAAGTGTTTATATGATAATTATAAAAAATAAGACATTATGACGATATGACGCAATATGGAGCCTTGTGAATACTCTAACAGACTTACCTATATATATATATATATATATATATATTTATTTATTTATTTACTCAATTATGTAATATTTCAAGCACTCACAACAAGTATACAAATACGGTTATATGGTATATAACATATGTACATATATATATATTCATATATTTCAATGTGTAGGTTGTTTGTATTTTGTTTCATATTGGAAATGCTTTATATGGAATGAGTTTCATGCAAAAATCATATATGCTCGGAATGTACTTTATTGCAATAAACACACATTCACATACACCCACACATATATTGTTTGTAGCTCTCTCATGTTTGCTAATTGTCTTCTCTTTCATGCCTCTTTATCACACACAAACACATACACACACGCATACCTACTTTCATTTGTTCATCTTCACTGATTTCACGCAATTTGTCCCCTTATTTCAGATGGACTTATTGATCTATCATCTTTTCTAAATCACGGTTCGTCAGGTTAGTTTCACTTTCAAGCAAAAAGAAAATCCAAACTTTTTTGTCTTTAATTGCACCATTTTTGCTCTCTTTTAATACTTTTTCCTCCAAAAACATATTTGTAAATATTTTAGTAAATTTAAATTCGAACCATAAACAAAAGTTGATAATTGAAGTAAATTTTCTTACAAAAAATATATTAAATCATGAAATGAAATTGTCAATTATCATTTGCTTGTAATAATTCATCATTTCCATTTTTAACTGTGCTGCATGCTTATTTTCCTTATATGCTTTCCTTATATATTTATACTGATTAAATGTATGGTTTAAACAAGTGGCAATATAGTAGTTGTAGTTCTCTATGGGATGTTTTGATATATAGAATACCATGCACATATATATTGTTTATTTAGCTGTGATTCTGATGTCAGTAGGATCATATCAGCAAACTCAAAGCCGCATATCCTCTTTTTCTTCATTAGCGTTGGCACCGCCTACGCGACTTTAGCCGGATCAATATTAGTACGCCATTTATTTCTTCTTTTCGCTGTCTGTCGCTAGTTGGAAATACCAAGTAAAGCTAAATCACTCTCCACCTGATCCTTCCAAACGCAGTGGATGTCTTCATCTTCCTCTGCTTCCACCAAGGGGTAATGCGTGGAATACTTTCAAAGCTGAAGTGCTTTCATCCATTCGAACGACATGTAGCCACTGTATCTTCATTCGCTGAAATACGTCGCCGTTGCCAATGCGAGACAGACCATAAATCCATCGCAAAACTTTTCTCTCGAAAACAGATACTCCGCATATAGACAGCTCCTTTCAAGCTGTCTGAGGCACCTTTAAAATAGACAAATATACCTCTTTAGCGCGCTTGGCACATGATGAATTTGAGATCAGCGAAAGGTTTTCTAGTGCCGCAATCCCAAACTACAAAAAACCATATTTGGTCGTTATGATTACAATCATCTTTCTTATCTTCTGCTAGAGCGTAGGTGCAAGAAGAAGAAATTCACTTTAATCCCGATTGTGGCGAAACGAATGTCTATGCTTTGCAATGGCGTCACTCTCGTACCACATATCTGAATATGTGACTCTTCATATGACCGCTCCAATAGATTTTACGAGAACCCACTTTTTTCTGTCCTAGTTTCGACCATTGCAATTCTTGACCGGCGGTAGATTCAGTTTACTCGTTTTCTCACTTGAGTTTACTTTTTATCATTTTATCATTTTTAACATGAGTTGTTTTTATTTATTTAGTTTTTCATTACATCTTTTTTTTATTTTATTTTATTTTATTTTATTCTATTTTATTCTATTTTATTTGATTTTAGTTTATTTTATTTACTTTATTTTATTTTATTTTATTTTATTTTATTTTATTTTATTTTATTTTATTTTATTTTATTTTATTTTATTTTATTTTATTTTATTTTATTTTATTTCATTTTATTTTATTTTATTTTTATTGTTTAATTTTATCTTACATTATTTTTTTATTATGTTTAATTTCACTTTATTTTGCTTGATATTTAGATTATATTTATCTTAATATTATTTTTTATTTATCTTTTTTAATTATTATTTCGTTCTGTATTATCTATTTAAAATAAACAATTAGGTATGAATAAATAAATTTTCTAGCCACGTCGCTACCGATAAAATATTTTTCTTTAGATGCATGGTTTTATAAATATTTCTATTGACGCACAATATTTGCGTATTTTTTACTATTCGTTGTATAATATATAACTTTCTCTCTCTCTCACTTTAATTGCAGATAATGAGATGCGTGATCTGAGTGTAACCTTTTATGGCAGCGGCGCCACGCATAAACTCCGTTTAAGCCTCTCCACACTTACATGCGCGATTTTGATTTTATTGAAGCTCAACAAGTGCTTTTGGGTCTAAGCTACGCAGACCCATGTAATGCATTTGGGTAAAAATTTTAGAAAAAAAAAAATTATTAAATAAGAAAAAAAGTTGATATTATGCAATCAGAGTACTTTTATAACAGTGGATAGCGAAAGGATAGGAAGGAAATAGGGATAGAAAATGTGAAGAGTTTATAAGAATTGGAAGGAAATGCAGTTAAATTGTAAGTTAAATGAGAGAATGTAAACTTGAATTTTAGCATATACGTATATACATACAATTATTTGTATTTAATTGCTAACTAAATATTTTTTATTAATTTAATTCTGTTTAATTCTTAACATAATCTATTTTAAGCAGAATTTCTAATGTAAACGTAGTTTTATATAATTTTTATAATAATATTTAAAGCGCTAATTTATGAGTGTGAATATTTAGCAAATATATGCATTTTTTATTGTTATTTTACACTCGCAAAGAAATTACAATCTTTTATTGTAAAACACATTTAATGAGTGACGCTGATTGATGGATCGGATGATCGATGCGAAAATGACAGAACCTCAACTGTAAATAATAAATGAATTTTTATCTTATACTCATATTCCTAGGCTAATTAAAAGATAGAAAAAAAAATTTAAATAAAATAAAAAATATTACTAAGTAAAGATATGAACAAAATAATATAAAAACCAATATAAAAACGTAAATATACATATATAATAAAAATTAATATGAAAAATATATACAAAAATAAAAAGAGCAAAATATTTAAATGCAAATATAAATCTAATATATAAATTAAGTATAGCGAAAATGGAAGATTGTCAATGCCCGACAAACAGGCTGACAGTTTAGCAGCAGGAAAAGGAAAAAAGGAAAAATAAGAAGTGTAAAAGCGTACACTCACACACACACACACATCTAGCCATATAAAATGGTACTTCAACATTCAACTTTAACATTTAGTGAGTAATAAAATATTAAGAGGTATAGGCAAGAAAAATACTTACTTTTGAGTATGATAAATAGCAAAAATTTAAATTAAATTTATTATTAGCGTAAATTAAAAAAAAAACAAATATAAGGTATAATAAATAAAAATAACAAATTAAATTAGAGAAAAAAGTATATATTATTAATATTGCAAATGTATAAAATAGCTAATATACACATTAATATACGCAATTAAATTTAACAGTCGCACATTAAAATCTTACAAATTTAGTCAATAAAAAATTATGTTTGGCAAATTCTCTGTCGTCGTCGTCATCGTCGTTGTGTTTGTGTCATTTATTCAGAAGCTTGGCATAAAAAAAAATATTAAAAAGAGCTGATTAAAAAGGAAAGGCTAGGGTAAAAATATGCCAAGAATTAAGCTCCAATAAATTAAAATGAAAATGGAGGAGAGTAACGTAGAACCACAAATATGTAATTGCTTTACGGCCATGCATAGAGAAATTAATAAGCTTTTTGCTATTTTACTTATAAAAAATAGCAGATGTATGTGCGTAAAGATATAATATATGCAGATAGATAATTTTGTGAGCTAAGCCTAGAAATTTCAAAATTAATTTTTTTTTAAACATTTTTTTTAATATTTATTTAATATATCCATATATCCATAAAGAAATCAATTAAATACCCAAAAAAAAAAAAAATATTATTCCAAAAACGATTAAATAAGTACGAAAATTTATATATTGTATAACTTTGGTATAATGTTTTAAACTGCTGTAACTAACATTGTGTTCATTCATTTTTTTTAATAATGTAATTTCTACTATTTTATTAGTACAGAGATAAATTGAGCTGGCGTTTTTCAAATGGTCGCTGGTTAATTGATATAAAATACTTAAAATCCATGCTATAATATACAACATCCAAGATATTTCCAGGTTGGCACCAAGTAGTTAAAAAATATTTTCTATACTGATATAAGAAAATTGTCTTGCTTTTATGTTGGACAAAGATAACTTCAATATTAGAGCAACTTCTTTAAGTTTCCTATTTAATTTAAACTTTCATTAAAACTGCAACTTATTTATTAATTTGTTTGATTAATGAAAAAATCTCATCATTTCGTTTTTTAATGATAATTTCAACACCAGCCTAAATGTAGGCAATATTTTTTGAAAATTTTCCATTCTTTTACTTGCACTGATAAACGCTAATGAACTCGTGAAACGCATTTTCGTAAATAAAAATAACAATTTTGAAGTATGCTAAAGCATCTACCAAAAAAAGATGAAGAATACAAAAAATCTGAGATGTTTGAAACCACCAAAAAAATATGTAATTGTTCTTGAACAAATACATATATAAAAAAAGATAACCCACAACATATATATAAAATAATATATATAAATAGCAAAACATAAATATAGATAAATGTATCGCTTAGCCTAAAAAATATATAACGAAATAAAATGCGAAAGATTCTGTAATATTTGTTGTAATTAATATGGGTATAGCCACATATGTATGTACAGGATGTTTAAATTTCTACTACTTTGCTTAAGAAAAACAAGCAACGCTTGATAAATACACAACAAACCGAATGAATAGACGTATGAAATATTTAAAAATAGAAAAACGCATCAAAGAGAGAAATAAAATATAAATAAAAATTAAAACTAAAAAAAGATTAACATAAACTTAAATTAAGAATTAAAATAAAAATTTAAAATAAGTAATAGAAATAAATTGAAATACTAAACAAGAGCAAATAAATCGATATTAAATAATAGAAAAAGTAATAGTAAATTTAAAATAAAATAAATATTCATAATAAAAATAAAAATAAAAGCTATAAAAAAATAAAATGTTAAATTTAACATAAAAATAAATAAAATATTAAAATGAACTGCTCTCTACAAATGTTAAACCAAAATTTCAATCTTCACACAAATTTTCTCAATACTGCACCAGAAAACGTTTCCAAACTAAGTTTACAAGAAAATATTCGTGAGCAACACTCATATTTACTTACAAATGCGACCAGACAGGCAAAGTGTAAAGAAAGATATTATAAAATATTAAAATACAAATACAACATAACGTGGCACCCTGTTGCTGTATATGCATATGTATGTACGTACTAATATACAATATTTGTAAGTGAAATGCCAAGCAGTACTTTAAATTCGTAAACAAAATTATACTCATTACTGCAAAAAGCATTGAGAAACAAAAATAATTTAATTGAATAAAAAAAAATTAATAATTAACTAATTAAATCATAACTAATATTAAAAGCATATAATAAGTAAATACATACATACATAAAAATATATGTATAAGCAAGCATTTCGAGCATTTAAAAATAATTCAGTAATTAATTATAAATTTAATTTATTTACAGACGAAGCAAGCGAAATGAATGTGAAGTGGCAAAATTAAACAACAAATAGAAAAAAAAACAGAAAAAAAACAAAAACAAATAATTAATTAAACGATAACTCAAGTAATTTAGTAATGAAGTATATGCAAAATTTATGATGAGCATATTTTATGAAAGGATAATCACATTTCCGCATAGAAAATTTAAACGCAGACAAAACTTCATACCTAACACATATACATACATACATAAAAGTCTACATGAAAAAGGCACATGCTTACACGAAATTCATACATACAAACATGTTTATATTTATATATGATTTGAATTGGCTATGAAGAACTTACACATACATACGTTGATACATGCATTTGTATGTATGTAGATAAGCATTTTAGAAAACCAAAAATGGTAAAAATTTGCATTTACCTTTTAACAAAAGCAGAAATTGAAAATGCAAACTCTCTTTTGGGTCTCGTACATAATGAAAATTTACTACTAAAAGTACATACATACAGGCCAGTAAAAACACATTCAAACATACCTACAAAAAAACTAGTCGCATACATACATGAACAATGCAACAGAAGCCTTAACCCGCCTACATACATACAGATATACAAACACTTACAAATACTTTCCAACATGCAAAAGTTTAATTATTGAAATCCTTTTCACAGCATCATCATTAACAACAAACACAAATGCATATACACACATACACATACATACATATGATAGTATGTCATAACTCAACTGGAACATGTGCTTATATTGCAATTACATACATACATATGTATATTGGAAAAAATAAGACGCAAATATGTATGAAACCACTTGATTGCATATGTATTTATTGTAATTATTTGTAAATTCATTTAAAAAAAAATAAAATAAAACATATAATTTAAGGAAATTTTGTTTATATTTAGTTTGCTATAAATATTATTAACAAATGCATACATACGTAAAAACATCTTTATATATATGTACATGTTTGTGACCAAAAACTCAAATGTAAAACTGTAAGCGAAAAGCCACATACATACAGACAAAGCATAAATATATATATAAAGCATAACGCATAAAATATTATGTAAAAGCAGATCTTAGCATACATACATACACACACACCTGCATACATACATACATACAACTAAAATATTTGTTTATTTTGTAAAATTTTTAAGAACTACAAATAAATAAAGAATAAAGTCGATATTATATCATTATAAATGTAAATTAATTTATGAGCGTGTATTTGTTGTTGTTATTGCATAATGTGCGGACTTGGTTATTGGTAAGAAATTCAAAAAAGTAAGTATATGCTCAAACACAAAAACCATTTCCACCAGGCGCTCATGTCACATGAATAGGTGACATGCTTTGGTGCATCACTCATGATCACTGTGAGCCTTAAATAGGCAACGAAATGTATGAGGCACAATCAGGGAAAAATATAGCCCTTGTTGCGGCCTAAAAAACTGCAATACTAATTTAGGCGTACAAACACATCTTTTTGGAAGTGTGATTGCTTGTGTTTCTACCAGGTGCACATAAGAGGCGAATAGGGAGAATATCCGGCATAAGGTAGGCAATAAGAGAAAAACATTTTATTTTACTCCTGAGAGATCTTCCACAATTTATCTTAAGCATCCACGAAGAGCAGCGAGGTTATGATGACGCTCAATTATTTCTGAGTTAATAAGAACTCATTCGTTCAGCCTA